CTTGTAATAGAAATTTATATCTGGGGTGAATAGTACTCCTTTTCCTCAACTAAGCCTGACTTGGAGGAAATAATGCTAATTTCTTTCTCATGTATTGCTTTTCTGCTTAACTCCGTTGTTGTACCTTACCTGGCAACAAAGAGAATTGGTGAAGCAGTTCCAAGAGAGTGAAGATGTGGTTTAGAAGAAAGGGGCAATGATAGGGAAGGAGGGAGGTAGTCCATGAGAAAAACGGGAGGAAACCTTGTATCAACTCAGTTATTTTTTTCCCAAAACGGAAAAGCTTTACTATTTTCTAACTATGATATAAAAATATTTCTCAGTGAAAAATTCAGACAACATGAAACTATAAAAGATTCTGAAAATCCCCCCAGTTCTACAGTCCAGAGATAATGGTATATTAGCCTTAGCCTTCTAGACTTTTTATCTATTTCTATTTATTTTTACTGAAAAAAATCATGTTGTTTTGAAACTTTACTTTTCACTGAATAATAAACAGTGTGCCTCATCTTTGCATCAGCAAATACTGTGTTCTCGGCATTGTGCTGGGTGCAGTGTATAGAACAGACATGTTCTCTGCCTTCAGAGGCTAGAATCTAGTAGAGGGTTTGCGTACGTTAATTATGATATAGTGTGATTAGTGCTTTGAAAGGAAAGTGTGGAGGGAACACATAAGAGGGACATAATCTAAGGTTGAGGGGTCTGGCCACACTTCCTGGAGCAATGAATGATAAAGCTGACTTAGAAAAATGAGTAGTTGATAATTCCTGATTACTAGTCTTTCTCCCCAGTTATATTGTTGACTCTTTAAGGGCAGATTGTTTGCTTTTATGTTCTCCAAAGTACTGGACATAGTAATGCTCAATTTTTTCTTATTCTAAAATATTAAACCTTGCCTTAGGAATATTGTGATGAATGTAACTTGTATTAGATGCTATGGGAATATCAGAATATTGCATCCTGATCTTCCCTTGGATGCCAAAAAGGAAATACTCTCTTTTGATAATATGTGGGCCATCTGCATAATGTTTTCTAGCTTTTCCCTATTCTCCAGGCTAAACAAACTGATCTTTGTTCTTTCTTTTCTCCTTTGCTGTTTGTCTAAGGGATAGTGAAGTAGTAATTGCCAACACATTGGTTTTTAAATTTATGTCCCTTTGGCATTTAAGAATTTACAGTAGTTTGTATTATACTTAATAAGTTGCTTCTCAGTTGCATGTGCTATATATGCCTTAATTCTAAGATCCTTTACAGCAAAAAGACTTTGTTACCTTTATGGTTGAAGGAATCAATCACCCTATGTTCAAGATTTTCCTTATACCCATATGCCATGATTGTCCACGGAAAAGTCAGCATTTGAAAAAGTCAGGGATAGCTTCTCTGTTGAGAGTCACAGAACAATGATTCTGCAACATTTGGGAAATAATTGTGGTCTTCCTATGGCAGTGTTCTAATAACCACTTCATTGTAGTATAACCTCTGGACAATATTTTAGATTATGAAATTGAATGAATGAATCCTCAAAGAGTTGAAAAAGGTTGACTTGATTCTTCTTTCTATTTCATGTAAAAATGATCAGGCTCAATTCCTTAACCTTCTGAAGAATATAGTGTTTCTTCTTTCTGCTAATAACTAAATTCTTAAGAATCGAAGCAATATCTAAAATGACAATAGGTTTTTCACTGAGAATATTTTGGTTTTATTGAATTTGAAGTTAAGAGTAAATTGTTTTACTCATTCCTGGGCTCATTCAGAAATATGTATATACCAACACACTAATGTCTGTGTCAGGTATAAAATTCATTTGCCCCATTTTTGTTTTAAATTTTTATTTTGAAATAATTATAGATTCACAAGAAGTGGCCAAAAAATGTACAGGGAGTTCCTGTGTACTTTTCACACAGTTTTCCCCAATGGTAATATCTTGCATACAGTAAAATATCAAATCCAGAAAATCAACGGTACAATCCAGGTTATTCAGATTTCACCAATTTTACAAGCACTCATTTGTGTGTGTGTATAGTTCTGTGTAATTATATCACACATAGATTTGTGCAACCACCACAATCAAGACAGAATTTCCACCACAAGGCTGCCTTTATACCCACACTTCCTTGCTTTCTTCCATTCCTAACATCTGGCAACCACTAATCTGTTTCTATCTTTATAATTTTATTTCAAAAATGCTATATAAAAGGAATCATACAGTGTGTAACCTTTTAAGATTGGTGTTTTCCCACTGGCCATAATTCCCTTGAGGTCCATCCAAATTGTTGTATGTATCAATAGTTTATTCCTTTTTGTTGCAACATAGTAAGTATTCTGTGGTATGGGTGTACCAAAGGTTAACCATTCACTCTTTGAAGGACATTTGGGTTATTTCCAGTTTGGGGCTATTACAAATGAAGCTGCTATGTATAATTTGTGTACAGGTTTTTATTTGAACATACATTTTCATTTTTCAGGGCTAAGTGTCCAAGAATATAAATGCTGGATTGCATGGTAAGTGCATGTTTAGTTTTATAAGAAAGTGTCAAAATATTTTCGGGAGTGACTCTGCCATTTTATATCCCACTAGCAGTGTGTGAGTGATCCAGTTTCTCTTGCATCCTTGCTAGCATTTGGTGTTGTAACTATTTTTTTATTTTAGCCATTCTGGTAGGTGTGTAATGATATCTCATTATGGTTTTAACTTGAATTTCCCTAATGGCTAATGATGTTGAATGTCTTTTCATGTGCTTATTTGCCATCCACATATCTTCTTCAGTGAAATGTCTGTTCATGTCATTTGCCCATTTTCTAATTGTTTGTTCTTTTACTGTTGAGCTTTGCGAATTCTCTATATATTTCTAGCCCTTTTCCGGATATGTAGTTTGCATGTATTTTCTCCCCATCTGTAGTTTACCTTTTCATCCCCTTAACAGGGTCTTACATAGAGCAAAAGTTTTTCTCTTTGATGAGGTCCAGTTTATCAGTTTTTCCTTTTATGGGTTATGCATTTGGCCTCAAGTGTGAAAACTGTCTAGCTCTAGGTCCTGAAGATTTTTCTCATATTTTGGAAAGCTTTATAGTTTTTTACATTTAAGTTCATATTATTACCTATGTTTGGCCCAATTGCTCCAGCACTGTTTGTTTAAAAGGCTGTCTTTTCTCTACTGAATTCCTTTTGCACCTTTGTCAAAAATCAATTGGACTTGTTTTGGTGTATTTCTAGAATCTCTGTTCCGCTGGTCTTTGTCTGTCCCTCCACCAATACCACACACAGTGTTGATTACTGTAGCTATATAGTAAGCCTTAACATAGGTAGACTTTATTCGAATATTTTTCAAAATTGTCTTAGTGCTTTGCCTTTCTATATAAGTTTTAGAGTAAGCCTGTCTCTGTCTACAAAAAATCCTTCCTGGATTTTGATAGGATTATGTTAAATTTAGATTAATTTTGGGAGAATTGACCTTTTTACTATGTAGAGCCTTCCAATCCAGGAACATGGTTTCTCCATTTATTTAGGTCTTTGATTTCTTTCACCAGCATTTGATAATTTCAGCATACAGATCCTTATATATTTTGTTAGATTTATATGTATGTCATTTTCTTTGGAGTGATTGTAAATGGTATTGTGTTTTTAATTTCACTTCCAGTTTTTTTTTTTTTAAGGATTTTATTTATTTATTTTTTCCCCCAAAGCCCCAGTAGATAGTTGTCTGTCATAGCTGCACATCCTTCTAGTTGCTGTATGTGGGATGCGGCCTCAGCATGGCCAGAGGAGCGGTGCGTCGGTGCGCACCCAGGATCCGAACCCGGGCCGCCGGCAGCGGAGCGCGCACACTTAACCACTAAGCCACGGGGCCGGCCCTCCAGTTTGTTTTTGAATATCAAGCAAAAATCCAACAAAATAGAACTCTAAAATGTGTCTCTTGAAGCTCTGGCCTTTTCTTTCAGCTTGCTCCTACAAATGGCTTTACTAGGCCTTTTAGAATTAAAATAAGGGTGGAAAGGTTAGATTTATTAGTCCATCCAGCCACTTGATGTCAGATGTAGAAACAATCCCTTTTACAACATCTGATCATTATTGCCACTTGAAAACTTCCAGGAACTGGGGAGTAGTCTCTTTCTTTATATATAAGGGAGTTCATTTCAATGTCTGATAACTGATTCTCATTGTTCATTTTGCTGTTGACTCATGGTCATTGAAGACCTCCAAATTTTTTCCCTGCCCTGCATCTTCTCGCCTTTTTCTTTCAGATGCAAGGATCCAGAGTCCATCTCTGTGTGCCCTCTCTCAAATAACATCATCTTAGGTCTGGATTCTTTATTCTGTGCCCTTCCCCCAGACCTACATTAAGTGTAGTGTGGCTCCAGTTTCTAATGACACAAGCCTTCCAGAAGCCCAGATATCTGCAAGTGATGGGAGTACAGAAGCAGAAAGGTGCCTAAAGCTTGTGGGGGGAAGAGTGGCTTGTCTAGATGGTATGAAGGAAATGACCAATAATACATCAAACTCCACCAAGCATTGGACTCTTCTATATGCTATTTTAACGAAGTTTTGAGATGTTACTTAAAATATTTCTACAAATGAAGAAATAGGCTCAAAGGAATTTTGATTTCCCAAGATCACCCAGTTGGCAAATGGTCCAAAGATAATGGACAACATAATCTCAAATTGTGTTGGTTAAAAATTAAGATTCTGGAACCATATTCTAGATCTAAACAATCAGTTTCTGGGGTGGGTTGAGGAGTGGAGCAAGCTCCCTGGGTGCTTATTTAGCATTCTAAACTTTCAGAATGATCTTTGCCCCTATATTTTGAGCATCTTATAGTTAACAATGCATGTTTGTGCAACAGATGAATAAGTACACATAAACAACTCCAATGCAAGGTAGAATGATATACAATAAGCACAGAGAACTATGGGTTTTCAAATTGAAGGAAGAGCACACTTAGCTAAGATGAGATCAGTGAAGGCTTTAAGGACTAGACAGCATTTACAACGACTAGTAGACAAGATTTTCTTTGATTGTAATCTTTATTATATATATTCAGCGCAGTATTCATTGCTCATTTTATATGGCTGTCCACAACTATAATACAATTTGAGCAACAATGATTGTGCATTAGTATACTTCAGATGAAAAACCATTACATGTTGAATCAATTTCTTTTAAAATTTCAGATAAAGAATTGTCATTTGGAGAGGCATACAAATAGTTACTCAATTTTTGTCAATTTTAAGACGTAATAACAATGCTTAAGAAAGATAAATACACTTAACATAAAATTACATTTCAATTTGTCATTTATTTCAGTGCTATTTCAACCACTTATTTACCCTCTATGTCTTGAAATTCACATTAAAAAATTGCATATTAATGATCCAAATGCAAATGAGTGAAACTCTAGGCCTTAAATATTGCCGTATTCTTAAAAAAGTTTATATAATTAAAAACCAAAGACAAAATCAGCCAAGTGATAAATAGCTTACTCAATTTTAGCATAATTTTAATTTTGAAATTGAATACTGACATTAAAAAACCATGAGGCAGATAAAGAGTATGCCTTTAGAAATATTAAAGAACTTATTTCTTTGCTTACAAATTTTACTTTTTTTGGTTAATACAGGCAGCCATTATTTAAGATGCTTAAATAAACTCACTCTTTTCACTTTGTGTCTATAAAAATAAAATTGTCCTCAATATTCCTAAATTTTTTATTTTCCAAAGAAGGCTATTACTATATGGTAAGAAGTTAGTGAATCAAGGGCTTAAAATCAGTGGCACAAATCATATGTAGAAGATGATGTAACAAATTGTTAGATGAAGGGTCAGAGTACAGTACAGTAACCAGCCATACATAAGAGGTAGAATTCTTAATCACAGTTTTATAGAAAAGATGCAGTAGTTTATATCTGTACTGTTTTATTAGTTATAGTATTGTAAGTTTGCTTCTCATTACGACTTGAACAGAAGGGAGAAAAAGAAGGGCTCTTCACAGGCCATGATATTTTTGGCCTTTGTTTTGCATGTGTTACAGGGACTACTCCTGGACACTTAAAGCATTTTCTTGGCCAATAAGTTAATTGATCATTATATGGCATTTACCTCATTTTTAAAAAGCTTCAAAATAGGGAAATCTAAGCTTCTGTTCTCCCAAGGGCTTAAGAAAGAGGGAAATAAATCTCTTTTTGTACCACTCTGAGTGTGAATTATAAATGAAACCATTATCTCTGGATATCATTATTGCTTATTAAGAATTCCAGCAGTACTAACCTACAGAGGGGTTCTATACTCATAAGTGGATTGTTTCTAACTCATATTTGTCATAAACAATATTATAAATGGGTATAACCAAAAAATTCTATTTAATTCATGATGTAGCTAAATTACTAGTATTTGAGTAAGACTCCACAGACTGGAATAAGCTAGGATGGCAGAGACTTTATATATATAGTTATTCACACATTGAGTGTTTAACCTTGGGAATTTGTGGGTTTCCTATCCTTACTTGAATGTCAATAAATAAAGTGATCAGAAAGGTCATTTTATGAAAGTTAAAATTATAATAAATATGTACACCCAGTGCTAAACCTTACAGTAGGGCTTATGTTTCATAACATGTACCTGAATACTTAGATAATTCAAAACAGTTGTAAAAAATAAAAACCCACAGCCAAGTATAGTTTTTTCCAATTAACTGGAAATTAATATCATGATTTATATTAGGATTGAGTCCATGATGAGCCAGTCAGATTCCAGATACTTACAGTTTAAGTGAACTTAATTTTGATCAGATATTCTCAAGCTTACCTAAATTCTTTTTTATTCATTTTATTAGTTCTTTTTACATAAGATTTTGAGAACTCAGAAAAGGAGATATTTATTTACATTAGGCCCAGATCCTTTTAGCAATATTTCCTTCACAACTGCTGGTAATAATGTATTATCCAAGTCAGTAGTCTTGTTAAAATGAATGCAATACTGTTGACATATAATATAAAAATAAAATTATTTTCCCACACATTTAATTTTAAAATCCTATTACCTTAGTTAAGAATTAGAATGTGTCCTTACGGAGGCTGAGCAACCTTTAGCTGTTCTTCACTTCAAAGAGAAAATCTGTCCTAATTTTAATAAGTTGACTTAGCATTTGTAAGAACTGTCAAAATGTCAGCTTTTGGGAATGTAGGCTAAGTATATAAAACTAATACTTTTTGCTAATATTTTAAATTGAAATATATTTAGTTATAAAAATCTCACAAATCTTTCACAGCTATGCTTCTATTTACATTATAGGAGAGAGGCACATGTAAAAAGAGAAAAGTTGAGTCTGTTTTCTAAAGGTATATTCAATTCATGATTAGGTAATTCTCAGATGACTTATAACGTAATATATTGAAAACTTCTACAATTAATTTGTAATTGCAACATTTACAAATAAACATCTAGGTAAGAGAATCTTTTAAAAACATTGTTCGGTGTTGCATTTAGGCCCAACGTTCATTTATTTAAATCACTTATGATATCTGCAAAATCTTTTTCAAACTGAGGGAAATGCTGTTATTAATATGGCTTCATTCAACTACACCTATACTCTGCAGAATATTTCTGTTATACACTTAAGTACAACTGGAGCAATAAGATTACTTGCACAGACGAAAGTGAAGACTTTCCTTTCACATTAATATTATACTTGTTTCACACCTATGGTAATGCCTGAAAACATTTTGGAAAAAACTATTAATGGTCTTGACTGTAACAGTTCATTGCAATTTTCCGTCTCTTTTTCAATGTTAATTACTCTGATTTGGAATTTTAAGTTCTACTTTTCCTCTTATCTTCAAATAGGCTCTTTAGCATATACACTTGAATGGCTGACACCAGCACCATTACCACTAAATTAACCATAGACCAGAAATTGACTCTGTCAAAGTTGCTTTCTTGTATGTTTCGATCACGAGCTTCAAATGCTCTAAGCAGAGTTTGGATATGACCACTTTTGCTTAGTCTGGACTTGATACTGTTGATGGATTCCTGGAGATAAATAAAATAATTTTACTATAAAACAATGCTCAGTAATTTTAAGTTAACTTAAAAATGTGCTTCATAGTACCCTGATATTCTTATTAGTTTTATATCCAAACACAATTTTAATTAAAGGACAGGTACTATGTAGATTACCTAAAGATCTTCTGTAAGGTTATATAAAAGTTCTGATATATTTAAATTATTGTTTATAAATAGTTATTTAACAAAGGAGCAAAGCTACTGTGAATTGAAAATAAATAAAATGAAAATATATTTGAATACCATAGTGCCAGGAATTTTATCTACATTATGTCTTTCTTAGCTCTCACAACCATAAGAAAATGACTAAGTTTAAAAAACAGAACTGATAACAGCTTGTAGGTATTTACCTTTATATAATCCATTGTGTGTTTATAATATTTTCTACTTTGAATGTTAGTCTGGTCCAATTTAGTATCTAGCAAAAACACCAAATGTTTTTATCTCACAAATAGTAGTGAAATTAGAAAATATTTCAATTTTAGATATGTATACTACACATCCAAAAGAACAATCTATTCTTCATACAAAAATGTTCCAAGATCACATTCATAAAACAAGCTTACCAAGATGCATTCTAAGTTGCATATCTTCTGAAAACACTGTATTTATAGTAGGGTCCTGGTAAGAAGTGATGTGAAAACTATAAAAGGGCTATATGAATATAAGGTAAAATTAAGTTGAGATTTGAAATGTCAAAATATTTATGGCAAAAATAAGAAAATACTAGCAAAAGATTTTCCTAGTTAGTCACCTTGCTTAAAATCCTCATTTAAGCAAAAAAATACCTCAAAATTTCAGACTGCTCTGCTAAACCTACAAAAGTACAAAGTGTGATATTTATCAAATGGGCATATTTGTAAAGGAATGGTAACCTAGTAATGCAAATACTTGCCAGAAAAATATGGGATTCAGATTCCCAAATAAAAAGACCATGTGTAATTCTTTTCAATATCATAATGATAGTCAAATATAAAATTAAGTTTGCTGTTATGATACAAAATTTGGGAGGAGTAAATGGAAAAACCTCCTGAAAGACATTTTATTTTTCATGAAAAAGGACTTATAAGTATTTTAAGCCATATTTAAAATGGAACTTTCGGTTATTTTGTTTAACTGTGTGAATGAAATCTTGAGAATGCACTGAGTACTAATAAGATTTATAACTACTTGTATTTTGTTTTATTGGCAAAATAAATTTAAAATGGAAGAATGTATTAATATGATGGAGATTTTAAAAATGGGTAGGAAGAAGACTGGACCAGTAGTGGAACTATGGATACATCACTTCCATTTTAAGCCCGTTCCTTATCCATAAAAGGGAATGAGAGGGGAAAAGGAGGGAGGTTGGAGCTAGACTAATGATAACTCTTTTTCCAATGCTAAAATTCAACTAAGTTTAATATTCATATGAAACCATGGTGAGCTCAAAGACTGTCATGTTAAAAATTCATGCCAATCAAACTTAATCCTTTCAGTTTCACAGTAACACCAATGGAAAAGGTAAGAAAACTAAAATTTATTGTGTGCCAGACACTGTTTAAAGCACTTACACCCATGCTATATCACATTTCATCCTCACAACTCTAGAGGTATTATCCCCTTTTGCAGGTTAGGAAACTAAGGCTTAGAGAGCTTAGTCACTAAGGAATTACACATATGATATGATCATTTAATTTTCTGACTTCTCAAGCTAACTGATCTACAGTATGTCTCTTTTGCTTTAATTTGATAGGTGCTTTCCTGAGAAACCTCAAGTGATCAAAATATCACATTATTAAAAAAAAGTTTCAGGTTGTAAAAGTATTAGAGGTTATACAGTTTCAAACTTGCAGTAATCACGTTATTTCTCCTGCCGGTATATATGCTGTTTACAGATATCGCTGAGTAAATTCTATCATTGATTACATCTAGCTGTGGATGAAGGGTAATGACCTTTCCCCCTTATCACTGGCTATACTATTATTAGCAAACAGGTTCTTATAGATGCATATTTCATTATGCATGTTTATGATTAACAAATCAGAAAGTGATTCAAGCAAAGAAGCTATATTCTAAAAAAGTTTGTCCTCCTGAGTGTAGTGCTAGTTTCTGATAATTGCTAGGTCTACTCTGAATAATGTCAACAGAGCAAGTTAAGTAATAGTAAATTTCATGTTATAAAAACTATGCTGTAGGAAAAATGCCTGTACACCTTAAGTGTTTACAAATTACTCAGTTTTATTCTATGTGTAAGTACACTACAGATCGTTACATTCTTCTGTTTGTGAACATTCTAAGGGAGTTTTGTAGTTAAGAGCCTGTGTTCAAATTCTAGTTCTCCCTCTCTCTGGTTATGTTACCTAATCTCCCTAAGCCACAATTTCCTCATTGGAAAGATGGAGAGAAATAATCCTCATAGAGTTAATTAAGGATTTCATGAGCTAATGCAGAAAAAATGCTGAGCTCAGTGCCTATCATATAGTAAGGCCTCTGAATGTTAATAATTTTTTATTATTTTATTAAAAGACCGTACTGACCAGGATGTCTTCCAGTTTCATATCCAACATATCTGTGCCACTAATATATTTCTTCCAGTCCTCTTGTTCTTGCTCCTGTTCTCCCATATTATCCAGAATTAATTCAAAGAAAATCACCTTCTCAGAAATGGTGCTGAATGTATTATCAAAGCAGAACATGTAGTCACCAACTTCAGTCTCTACCCTGTAATAAAAAAAGTACATGTCTTCAGTTATCTATACTTCTATTTGGGATCAAAGGAAAAAATACTGTCAATAAAGAGAAGAAATAACTTGGTTTATAATAATTGGATAGCTTACTGAAAGAAAGACTTCCTTAGTATTGAAAGATAATTTGTAATTTCTTGGGAAAGAGGCAACCTGGAAATACATATTCAAGTACTTGCAACTTAGATGTGCTTGGCATTTACTCAGTAAATTATGGTAAATGATCTTGACTTAATTTTTGGAAACAGATAGGATTAAAAACCTATATACGTGATACCTCATGATGAACTTTATTTTTTTTGGTGAGGAAGATTGGCCCTGAGCTAACATCTGTTGCCAGTCTTCCTCTTTTTGCTGAGGAAGATTAGCCCTGAGCTAACATCTGTGCCCATCTTCCTCTATTTTGTATATGGGACGCCACCACAGCATGGCTTGATAAGTGGTGCATAGCTCCACGCCTGGGACCTGCACCTGCGAACCCTGGGCCGCCGAAGCTGAGCACGCGAACTTAACCACTACGCCACCGGGCCAGCCCCTCGCGATGAACTTTAATATTTATACATTATTAAAAGTAATTTATAATGAGTTCAATTCATATGCAAATATGACTACAAACCTCCCCCCTTTCAATTGAGATTAATCAGTAAAGTAAGTTTTGTTTTCAAAAGCAGTGATGGATTGTTCTAAATACTTTCTTCTAGGGTTCTTGCTGATTAAGTACATCTTTGTCGTCTAGTTTATAAAGATTAGGGATGAGGTCAGTGACCAACAACTGGAGCTTTACCCTCAGTGGCATTACTTTTACTGAATAAATGCCACTCATATCTAAACTAAACTCATGATCTTGGTCTCATTAGCTTCACATTCAAGATAATTGGCCTGGGCAGAGTTAATTTAGCAAAATGGTTTCCTAATAATTTTTTTGTGAAGAGAAACTTTAACAAGCAAAATATTGCGCTTACTTTTCAAGGTAAGTAAAATAAGGTTCACATAGATTAAGATACTTGCTCATGATCACATAGCCTGTTATAGGCATAGATGAAGCTTGGTTTTCTGACTCAAGTTAATTGATCTTTCTACAATACTGCTCAGAGCCTGTCTGCATTCTTTGCAATCTCCTCAATCATAACAAAGCTTTGTCTTTTGAGGATGTATTTTTAATCTTTGGAAGGAGCCTGAAGCAAACACTGGTGAATACACTGGGGAACAATTTTAAAAGGAAAAAACAAAACAAAATGTCATGATTATTATGCAAAGTTAAATATAATGTTAATAGCTTTTTAATTTAATTTTGTTTAGTCTTAATTTTATTTAACTCAACTTTCTTTAGCCATTCTTAACCCTGCACTGGATAAAAAGGGTAAGCTTTGTACCTACTCTTTTTATATATAAAGCAGATATACATACAGTACAAAAACGGACATGTAGTATATTTGTGGTATTAAAATTTCATGGGAGGATAATTAGGGAAAAAAGTCTTAAAAGGCTGCATCAGGATGGGGTAAAAATGAAAAAAGTTTGAGAAGCACTGACTCAAATGTATGAGCTTCAGCATGTGTACAAAAAACTTTTTTACTTTATAGTCATTCCTATATTAATTCTATATCTATGTTCCTATATATTCCTACATTCCTATATTAATCTTTCTAAATCTGTGTTGACTGCTTTTAGTAGAAAGGAATTTTATTACTAAAAATGATACAAAATATTATCCAAATAAAAATGCATAGAATAAATTTTCCTTTCAAGTAGAATAAAGAGGTAGCATAAGTAATCCAAAATGTATAAGTTCTGCTGTGCGTTAGGATAATATTTATTCAGTTGGCTAGAAAAAGGTATTTATAGGACTTCGCTCTCCAGGCAGTGCTAGACAAATAGGTATTACTTAAGCTGTTTAAGGCTCTGTTTGGGGACAGTTTTACTAGCCTTGACTTCTGGAAGGACAGTATTTGTTTCAAAGATTTAACTTAAGAAAAAAGCTATTTCAGTGCCATAACTAAGATTTTAGTTGCCTTTAAAAAATATAGCTAAAGATACAATTTTTGTTTAAACCTAATTTATAGAAAGTAGATTTATAAATTTGGTGTAGTGATTAAGACTCAATTGGACTGCCTGGTTTTAAATCCTGGCTTCACTGTTCCGTAGCTGTGCAACCTTCATTGACTGACTTAAGCGCTCTAGCCTCAATTTCCTCATCGGTAAGATGATAATAATATGTACCTCATAGGAATGTGGTGAAGAATAAAAAAAATTAATACATGTAAAGTGCTTAGAACAGTGGCCTGGTAGGTACATCAAAAGAACTCAATAAATAAATAAAAACTCTTGTTCATATACCTATCAAAGAGAAAGCATGGGCAATTCCAAGTATATCAATCTAAACTGACTTTTTAAATTACTATTTCTTGGGCCGGCCCGGTGGCTTAGCGGTTAAGCGCGCGCGCTCCGCTGCTGGCAGCCCGGGTTTGGATCCCGGGCACGCACCGACGCACCACTTCTCCGGCCATGCTGGGGCCGCGTCCCACATACAGCAACTAGAAGGATGTGCAGCTATGACATACAACTATCTACTGGGGCTTTGGGGGAAAAATAAATAAATAAAATCTTTAAATTACTATTTCTGTTTATTAATAGTTTATGCAAATATTTTTTCTGAGCTCTGCATAGATAAAATGCCATTTTAAAAAGTACTTTGAAATGAATATGTTAAAAAATTATGGTTGAGACATCTTTTCCCCCTCATTCATTCATCACTTACACTGGTTAACCAGGTACTTTGGTTAACAAAGACCAATAATTATAATAATAACTAGTACTTACATAGTGCTATGTGCCAGGGATGTTCTAAGCATCATATGGCAGAAAGCAAGAATTTGGTCCATCCTGCCTCCTCCTCTTAATAAATGTGTATCCCTGCAGACTTATTTAACATCTCTGAGCCTTCTTGTCTGTAAAGATTCCTTGTCTGTAAAATGGGAATCGGGGAATCAAAGAATCTATCTCATAGTGGGTTGGAATGATTAATTTAGAAGCATATAAAATGCAAAACCTAGTTTATGGCAAATATTAGATGCTCCGTATTTGCTCTTCTTCTTCCTATAAACTCACAGTTTAAACACAATAACAATATTGAGTAAAGACAGTGCTATAGTAAAATAATAGAACGGAACAGGGAAACACACCAGTGAGATATGAAGAAAGAGAAGTGAGATGTAAGAAGAGAATATATGGCCTTTTGTCAAACTCTAAACTCAAAGAGTTACAAAAAGTGTCTTCTTTCTATATGGTTTCCTATGGTCAGATTTTTTACTTTCAGGTCTTCTAATTACCTAAAAAGAGTGAGGGCTGAGTAAAAACAATAATTTTTACACAGACACACACACACACACACACACACACACACACACACACACACACACACTCTGAGATGTATTATACTGTTGTTTTAAGAAAGAAAACAATGGGCAAAGATGACATAGCCAGCAGCTCAAGAAACCAGAATACATACCTGCAACAGGAACTTATAGTTAAAATAGCCTGTGCTAGCCAGAAAGGCAGGTTTAAAATGCCATAACAGATTGAATGCAATACCTAGGGAATACTCATTTATTTAACCAAAGCAAAGAAAAAATTGTCAGGATCAATACAAAATGCCTAAACAAAAAGAAAAAGGTTAATGGAAGACTTGTAGTTTAAGATAGACCACTATCAAAGACTGTTTAAAATGTTCATATGGAATCATTTAATACTGATAATTAATATCAAATGTGCTAAATTTCCCTGTGCTGCAGATAGCCCACTGGTCTTACTCAGCCCAAGGAACTCAACTAAGAGATTACTTACGTGTGAACTCCATCTGATTTTCTTTGTTCAAAAACTAAGGTTCTTCCTTCTGGAGAGGCAAGATGAAAATCAATATCTAATCCTGCTCCATCTAAAACCTGTAGAAAAGCACAGAAGAGAAGAACACATATTACAAATTCTGCAAATAAAAAATTAATAAAAATTATATAAAGTGGATCATAGGATGAAAAGATTTTCTAAACCTAGAGGGGTAAGAAAGTCAATGGACTCATGTTAGGGCTAGAAAGGAGCAGAAAGATCATTTAGTTCAATTCCATTCATTTTTGGAACTTGTCCCTTTCTTACCAATTCCTGTTGCCACCACCTAAATTTAGGCCTTATGGGTATTACTGAAATCCTCCTAAAACAGTGCCTTCATTGAGAAGCCCTATAGAATGGAAAAAAACATAGAAGGGATTTCAAATGGTGAAACTTTTTACTTAGGCAATTTAGGGCATGCTGTGTAACTTTTCTGAGTTTGTTTCTTCAATAAAATAAGAATAATTAGCTACTTCTTAGCCTGGAACTCAAGGCCTCCATGATCTGACTCCAACAGACTTCTTCATCGCATTCATCTACTATTACCCAATATGAACTGTATATTCCAAGTAGGCCATTTACTTAACGGCCTATGAACCCAATCTGTTCCTTTACGATCCCTAAATGTCCTGATGATGATGATGACAGCAGCTAACAATTACAGTTTACGCCACACATTGTTTTAAGTGGTTTATGTGGATTAATTCCTCACAACAACTCTAAAAGGTAGGTCCTATTTTTGTTCTCATTTTAATTAAAAAAAAAAACACACACACACACACACAAAACTGAGGCATAGAGATGTACTTTTCCCAAGATGATACAATAAGTGGCATGGGCAAAATTTGAACTCAGCAATCGGCCTCCAATGGCTACTCTTTTTCTTATATTAACACTCCATTTTATTTTTCTTGGTGGCTTTAATGGAATGATATAAAACATTACCTACTCCTGTGCTCTACTTACTGATCAACAGAACTGGTTTCAAATGGCTAGCTAAATGTATGTAATTCTTTTTCTTCTATAAATCCCAATGAAATTAAGAAAACATAATACAAATAATCCATAACAACATTGGAAATCTAGGATGGCTGTTAACAGACTAGAAAAGTAAGGAATTTCTGGAAGATATTCCACTGAGCAAAGGATATATCTAGCTACCAATATCTATCAATCTCAAAATTCTCAATTAAACAGACGAGAGAAAAACCAAATATTTGTTGAAATTGATGCCCTCTTTTTCATGTTATCTCAGAGGATCAAATTCTGAAAAAATAGTTAATATAAACAGACTTAAAAATATGTTTCCTTGGATAAATATATATCTTCAGAGAAATTCAAGAATGTAAAATCCATAAAAAATGAAAATACTGATATGAAAAAGTTTTTAGAAAAGCCAAAAATGTGATTGCCAAAATAAAGCCTTAACAAATATAATGATAGCAGAACGAACATGGATGGAGACTGAAAATCAGAGAACAAGAAGGAGCCAAGGAATTCTCAGAACAAGGTGAAAAAGTATAGTAGATGAAAAGTATGAGGGAAATGGTAAGACCTTTCATGAAGGACAGTTAAACATTTTCAATACCCATCTAAGAATCATTTTAAAAGGAGAGACCCAAGAGAAACGAAGGGAGGAAATCATCAAATAGGAGAATAAAAATTCCTGCTTCAAAAGATAAAAATCTTTAGACTGAAAGGGTCTAATAGATGTGAAGCAGGATAAATGAAAAAAGATCCAAAAATCCTACTGAGTTTTCCAAAGGATTTAAGAACAACCTAGAAATTTCCAACGAGATGTCAGTAGAGAACTGGAAAATAACAAGAATTGGAATTGACATGAGAATTCTTATATGTAACACTAGATGCAAAAAAACACAATAGTCATGTCTTCAAGGTTCCCAAGTAAGAAAATTATATTTACTGAAGTGAAAGCAAAAAGTAAAGCCATTTTCAGATATCCAAGGACTCAAAGCATTCTAAAAGAATTACTCAAGGTTATCCTCCAAAAAACCAAAAAAAGATATCCATTAAATCAGAAAACGAGATATAACAAAACCAAGCAAAGATTCCAGTAAAACAAAGTTTAAAAGATGTTATTGGTAGTGGCTGTGAGGCTCAATGAAATTGTTAAAAATGATATTTAAGAATACAAAAGCTAATTTAAAAAAAATATATATTTAAAATATAGAATATTTATTAAAAATACCATAATCTGAAACTAAACTTCCCAATGATTTCAATGGAATATGATGCGCGAGTGCCACTTTTCCCTGTCTGTACTGCTGTTGTAATGGTCTTTAAGTTTCTCAAAGGTATTCTTCTGTCTTCTTCCTGAATGCCTTGGCATATGCTGTTCTTTTTACCCATCGCCTTGTTCTACTCACCCCTTATGCCTACTAAGCCCGATTCTTCTACAGATCTGAACTCTTCTACAGATCTGATCTGAGGATGTCTTCTCTCAATTCCCAGATGAAATCAAGTCCTCCTATTAAATAGTGTCATAGCTGCAGGCACTTACCCTCATAGCAATTATCAGTTATAATTTCACATTTATTTGTGTAATAATTTGATTAATGTTGTCTCCATACTAGACTGTATGAGGGCATGACCTATACTTTTACTTACCATTGTATCCTTAGCATCTAGCATAGTGATTACACAAATTAAGCACTCAATAATGATTTAAATTTTTAAATGAATGATCTATTTTATTCATAAGATATATGTACTGACATTTAAAAGTTCCACGAACTTAATGTGGGGCTGGTGAATTATCCTAAAAGTGTCTTCCCAAACCTGGAAAGTAAGAAATGGGTAAAATTTTTCAATATGTCACAGTCACCCAAGGGCAATGTCTGGAACATCTGTTCCCTGACATTTTAAAAAGCGAGACAACAATCAGTAGCTTGTGTTACTGGGAAATTAATCGTGGAGTTAGAAAATGCAAACAAAAGTTGAAGATAATCTCTACCCTGCAAACCCCTCTAACCTTGTCTAGGACTACAGTAAAATGATTTTACTTCTCTCCTCAATCAAAACAATTAAATTGTTTAGGGAGAATGCTTTGGGGGAACAGTCCTTTTAAGAGTGACTAAAGATGCAAAGTATAAAGCTAAACCAAGCCAGTATACAACTCTAGAAGTGTAAATGTAAAAAACTAATATTCATTGGATATTTACTACATGTCAGGGATGGTCTATGAATACTTATTAACTCATTTTTTCAAGTCAACTCTATGCTGTAATTACTATTATCTCTATTTTACATGTGAGAGGTTAAGTAACTTGTTCAAAATCACACAGGTAGTAAGTGAGAGTCAGGATTTCAACCCAGGTATTTTATCTCTAGAGCTGGAGCTCTTAATCATAACAGGTCAGTAGTTAAAATAGATTTCCTCCCTAATACCTGGGTAAATACTGAGGAATTTTTGAATAATACAAATTGTTTCTTACCTGGACTATTTCACTAATCTCCTAGTGGATTTCCTTGTCTCTAATTTTGCCCTCCTTAAATCCATCTTCAACACTGTACCCAGTGATCTGAAAAACATTTTTGACTATGTTACCACACTGTTTAAATCTTCAGAGGCCCTTGTACAGAATAAGGGCAAAGCTACTTGGCATGGAGGACAAGACTAAGATTCATGATCCATTCTCCTGACCTCTTCAATCTCTTTTTTTTTTCCTACGCCCACCCTAGACTTTATAGTCTTAAAATCTAACAAAAACTCAGTACTTGTAGTGTCTACTACATACTCCCCACTGCGAAAACACTCACACTATGCATTTTCAGAACTGTCTATTCATTTTGTTCCTTTGCCTAAAATGTCCCTCCTTCCTTGCATTCTTGTCTCACTTAAGCATCTTTGTAGACTCAAATTTATTTTCTCCAGGAAGCCTTTATGAAACCCCAGAGAAGTCACCCTCCTCTAATAGCACTTAACCATACTTTATTGAAATTACCTGTTTATGAGCCAGTATCCCTTAAACATCAAGATCTTGAAAAAGGGACTCTCTGTATTGTACCCCCCACCCCCACCCCCGGCATACTGCCACATGGTAACTGTTCAGTAAATGAACTTCTGGAAATCAAGAAATGTTGAGTTGTAATCTCAGTTTTCCTCACTTTGTGACTTTGGATACTTTATGCTTACCTTATGCATCTATAAATAATCTAATGCTTAAGTTACTTCGGATGAGAATTCCACATAACTTTTTATTTTGCTCTATATCTGACAGTACCTGTTATTGAAAAAGATTCTATATATCAACTTAAAAAAACTAATATCTGATTATAAATTAACTTTTAAAAAATTAAAAGATGAACCACACGAACGCATCGTTTTTGCAGTGCTACCTAGAAACATCGAAATTTGCTGTGTGGAACTAACAAGATTTCTTCTAAGAAATTATCCTCTATCAGAATGACTACATAAATTAAGGCAACTCTCTATATAACATTACGCAGATACTAAAAAGGAAACAGTTACTTGGAAGAAATGCTTACAATGCTGAATGAAAGAAAGGTTATAAAGTTTTAATATACAATTAGACCTTATTTGATTTAAAAATAATTGATATATAACTGAGGAAATGCACCATTAATTACATCAATAGCCCGTTTCAAAATATTCCAAAATTGGATTTAGTGACAATCACACGGTCACAATTCAAAAATCCTTAACCGAAGCAATGACAGTGAAGATTTATAATATCGGAAGTGGGTGAGGGTGGTGGGGAATAAAACAAGTGTCGTCATCTCGTCCAATGATCAAGGAGAACGTGTATCAGTCCTGTATTGCGAAATTCTCAGTACCGGAGCCTGTACTGGCTAGCAAAGCGATGGGTGAATTATAAAACAAAGAGAAAAAACCCGACAACACGAGCGCTGGCCTCTTTCCCACCGGAGGAAAGGGGAGAAGGCGGGTAGTCAATCCCAGGTCCCGCCTAACTTGTCGGTCTCCGGCCCAAGAGTCTCGCCTCGTGCGCCTGCGCGGAGCTGGCCGCCTGCCCCGGCGGCCCTCGTCTCTTCCCCAGCCCGGTCGTCCGCAAGAAGTTTCTAAGCGGGTGAGAGGCGACGACGCGGTGCGTCTGGGATAAAGGCAGGAGGCTAGCTCACCCTCTGCACTTACTTGGTACTCGATCTCCAGCGAGGCCTTCAGGGGCATGGGCTGGTAGAAACACTCCTTCTGGCCGGCCGGAAGGGTGAACGTGAAGTCGCTGTCTAAGGAGGGCGTGAAGCCGGCCGCACCCGGCAGCAGCACTGGGGGCAGAGCGGCCAAGAGGAGCACCGGGAAGGGCAGCCAGATCTTGTCGCCCATTCCTGCCGGGGCGATCTGGGATTGGAGAAAGCGTGCGAGTGTGGCACCGAGGCTCGGCTTTTCTTCCCTGGACTCCTCGTGGTAGGGAAACCTGGAGCCTGAAGAAACTCCAGGTGGCGGCCGTGGCACCGGCAAAAACTCCCTCAGAGGGGGAAACGCCGGCCTCCAAAGGGTGGGGACTGAGGGCGGGGCCACCAGTCCTTTTCCGCACCCTCCTCGGTCCCAGCCGCCTCCGGTCCGGCGTGTGAGCGGACCGCCTCACACCCAGACGGCTGCAAGTTCCCATGGCTTCCCTCACACCAATAGGCGTCGTGGGAATAATTATGGGAAATGTAGTTCCGAGCGAGCGGGCTCCGCCGCGTTCGCAGACTACGATCCCCGAGAGGCCCCGCGCCTCTTGCGTCGCCTCTCGCAGAGCCTGCCCCGGGGGCCGGGGCTGGGGCCGGGGAGGGGCGTCCCCCAACGGTTAACGCGGCGGTTCGAGGTCGGGAAAGTCAGGGTTCGCTGGCTCCCCGCGTGGTGTGTCTGGCTTTTTCACGCCCGAGGCCGGGAGGAGGGTCCGAGGCTTCCGAACGCAGACGAGAGCGCGGCGTGCACTGTCGTCGGGTGGGGCTCTCTCCCAGCCACAACTTGGGTGGTGAGCGACTGCTCCTTGGAGGGTGGCAACTGGCCTACCTGGGGAGTTTTGTTCATTTCTCTCCCCGCACCCTCGGACGCGCTTCGTCTGGTCCTTGCCGCGCACGCTGCTCTGCAGGGTTGTGTTTTAGTTGAGGAAAAATCCTAGAGGAAGGTGTCTTGTTTTCCTCCGCTTATTCCAGATGAACGTAGGATCAGTTCTGTCAAATTGAACTTACTTGAGACAGGACAGAACCTATGATCTCTTCCAAAATGAGGAATCTTTTTCGACTACAACCCGTCCTGTTACATACAGGGCTATCACACTTGTTCTTTGGTGTGATAGGTGTGCATGTGGACAGCTTCAAACACATTGTTATTAGGGCCAAAATATGTCGTTGTCCGGCCCTGTAGGTAGCATGATGTCCTTTTCCACATATGTACAGGCAATGAAGGTAGACTTTTATAACTACTGTTAAGTTGAAGGGAGGAGGAATCTTCATTTGACAGTAAGTGGTCCACTAGGAAAGTGAAAATATTTGAATATCAAACGTATTCATTGATACTTCAGAAGGGCTAGAGAATTGTTAACAGTAAAATACACAGAAGATGTTGGCTAGAAAACCTGATTTAGTTGAAACATAGTATCGAATGACATTTTAGAGTTTATTCGAATTTTCTTTACCCTTTTTTCCCGTCACCACCCTGTCGAAGCTAGAGATGTTGAAAAGATAAAGCAGAATGGGGACCTGATCCGTTGACTTTTGTCTAGGAGAGACTTCTCACTTAAGCAGAAGCCAATTTGTGGAAACAAAAGGGGAAAGAGGGTAGAAACATTTTCCCTATGATTGCATAGCTTCTCATTTAATTTCCTGCCATATTTCCTTCCAATAAGGTGAGAATTTTCTTTTTAATCTCCTTACATCTGAGAAATTTTGAGTGGGGAATAAATTTGTTGTACTATTTTAGCTAGATGAGGGAAAGAAAGGGCAGTTGAGGAATCATTTATTCACTGAAAATATAGAGCTCCTCTAAGTGTCTTCCAGTCCTGAACATAATACACAGGACTCCTAACCTTTTGGAGCTTGAGATGTGGTCAGAATTCTAGAAGGGTGGTGAAAGAGGGATGCTACAATGACAAAGGTAAATGGGTTCTGAAACAGGAATGTAATTTTAAGATTATGCAGAAAGATCTACAGAAGTAGTAGAGATTATAAATCCTTAGTTTTTATTGTGTTAATTATTAATAATATGTATTTTACTACATAATAATTATATGTATTAATTATTAATAATAAAATGTGGCCCTTTATCACGATTTTTTTATGCAAAGGAATTTAGTAGAGAATTTCACAACCCTAGAGATACTCATCAGTTGAAGAAACAAGCTTTCTTCATATATTTCTGAGTTAACATGCTAAATGTCATTTTGATCTCTGTGGTTGTGATGTGAATGTGAGTGTTTTTTAAATTTTATAACCAGTGTGAATGAGAGAATGGGATATCTTTTATCTAGTAATAAATTGCCTTTAAAAAAATATCAATGACTGTAATGATACCAATTTTATCAGATGTTCAGAGCTTGTAGAGTTATGATGTAAGTTCAAACACCTCATATTGAAATTGATCTCTAATAAATTAGAAAATAACAGTGTGACTTAAGTAAAAGGTCTTTGGATCCTGATGACCTAGGTTCAAATCTTGGTTCCACCATTTACAGTTTGTATGACCTTGAGCAAGTTATTTAATTTGTCTTATTCTTAGTTTCTTCATCTTTAACATGGAATAAAAATACTTAGTTCACACAGTTGTTAGATTAAATGTGCTTAGAAAAGGGGAACTAAAATAACTACACCCTGGCTATAATGAAAAATTGATTCATTGAAACTCTGTCGAACTTTCCATTATGGCTTTACACTTCAGAGAAATTCTTTGCTACTGGGTTTTTTGTTTTGTTTTGTTTTAAATCACTGTGAAAGATTTCACAACATTTGAAGTAGAAAAATAATGAGTTAAATTCTATTAGTGAGAGTATTTTGCTGACACCACAGATTCTTTCAGGCAAGGTGCAAGAAATTCGTTTCTTCTTTTAAGAAATGGAATCTAGTTCACCAGACTACTATAATAAAGACAATGAAGAAGAAAGTTTGCTTGCAAATGTTGCTTCCTTAAGACATGAACTGAAGATAACAGAATGGAGTTTGCAGAATTTAGGGGAAGAATTATCCAGGTAAGTAAGTAAAATCACATATAGAATTCAGAGTATGACTTTAATTTATGAATGTAAAATATATGAATTTCATCATTATATATTGTGTTTCTAATATGTCTCTAGAATAGAAAATAATGTTCTATAGTTTTGAATATAACTCTCAGTTTAGGAAAAAAGTAGAAATATTAGAGAAGCATTAACATATTAAGAAAATACCTTTAATAAATTAGGACTCAGTATAAAATATATGCTTGGGCCTAATTAATCTTTTATTATTATGACTGTTTTTTGAATCTTAAGTAATCCTAGCATAAAGGCTCTAGAAATACATGGATTGCTAGTTTAAAACTAATTAGGGTTTATTTAAAAATTTAGTTTAAACATTGCCTTTAGTTCATAACTGTAAATCTGATTTCCAGCAGCATTTCAGGTGCTTTCCTTTCTGCTTTCTTACTTAATGTATAGAAATTTGGAGTGAATACTTAAACTATCTAAGAACTAAAATGTATTTTTTCTTTTTTCTCTAGTGTTAGTCCAAGTGAAAATTCTGATTATGCCTCTAATCTCTCAAGGTCTGAAAGGCTCATTCTGGAAGATCTTTCTCAGCCTAGCCAGCTTGGACTTTTGAATTACTCACCTTATAAAAAAGTTTGTAAAATGCCCAGTAGCAATACTGATTTTCAAAAAAAGCCAAGAGAGAAGGTTATTGTTTTTAGATCTCTCTACTTAAAAGTAGTTGTAGTTTTAGACCTGTCTAGTTAAAATACTTTTTCTTTGAGTCTTTTCTTTAAATGCCTTATTCGTGTTTTCTATAGTCTTTTACTATAGTGCTCAAAACTCATTGAATTTAAATATAATAGTTCTTAATATGTCCTAACAAGAAAGTAGTTATTTTGGTGTATTACTCTGTTTATAAACTTCTATATTTATTACTTTTTGCAATTAAATGTCTTGTTTTCTGAAGTAAATTACTGTACCATGTACATAATAGGTAATCAATTATTTATTAAGTGGTTAAAGTATACTTACTGTTTAGCGTAGATCAGGTGCTATGTAATTGCATGGCACTATTCTCCTTTCATTGTCTCTAAATTTTGTGTATGATCTTAGGCATCTTTCCTGGTCTGGAACTCAATCTCTCTCTCTCCCTCTGTTTTATTTAGTCATATTATCTATCTCCCTGTGTTTACCTCTCTTCCTTACTGAGCCTTTTTATCTCCTTTTCCACTTTCTTCCTGTTGTTTATTACCTCCCCTACCCCCACCAGCGCACATGTATACACGTGTGGTTGCATATGTACATCATAATCTTTTTTGATAAAAATTTGCTTTTCCCACTTCAGAAAGCCAACAATTGAGAGGTTTTCTTTTTGTAAGGAAGCTATAATGAGCTTAGATTTTAGAAAATGAATTCAAATTCCATGTCTACAAAGATTGTGTAATTCTGGGAGATTTGATCACTATTCTAATTCAAATTGCTGATTATTTATATATATATGCCTTAGTTGAAATTATTGTTTTACCCTAAGCAAAATCAAAAGACAAATGACAAATTGGAGGGGAAAAAATATTGGTAATGCCTATTAAAGGTAAAGGGCTAATCTCTTTGATATGTAAAGAGCTCTTAGAAAGAAGAAAAGATCAACAACCCAATAGAAAAATGGGCAAAAGATATGTATGGAAAAGGAAATTAGTGATCTTCAAACGAATAAAAAGGTGTTCAATCTCACTCATAATAAGAGAAATTCACAATAATGAAACTATACTTACCAGTTCTTATGTATCAGATTGTTAAACATCCAGATGTTTGACACTGTATTTTGTTGGTGAAATTAGGGGATAATAGGCACTCTCCTAAATTTCTGGTAGGAATGCAAATTGATACAACCCCTATGGAGAGGCATTTGGTAATGTTTGCCAAAGTCTCAAATGCATTTACCCTTGACTAGTTGGAAATCCTATTTCTGGAAAACTACCTTCAGGTACACCTGCACAAGTACAAAATGAGGCATTGTTTGTCATAACAGAACATAATAAATAGTTCAAGTGTCCAGTAGTAGGGGATTGGTTGTATAAACATGCAATGGAAACTACAGCTGAGGGGAAAAAGAAAAAAGGAGTTTCTCACTGTATTGATTGTGGAGAGATTGCCAAGATATATTGTTCAAGTAAAAAAATGCAAGGTGCAGAATGATATATATAATATGCTAGTTTTTGCACAAGGAAGTGTGGAGGTTGGATAATTTGTATTACTTATATATGCATGTGAAAACACTAGAAGACTAGGTTTACTTAAGGCCATAACTTAATAATAACTCTCCTATATAAGTGATTTCCCATATTTTGCTGTATAATCGGTGTTATATAAAAATTTATAAACAAGAAACT